ACAAATTGTATGCAAAGGTGGCATGCGTACAATTTGTGCATACAAATTGTACTCCATGCTAATCACAGCTCTTAAGACAGTTTTTCAGTTGTACTTCACCTTTGCTCCCCGTTGTACAGGAAAGCGCAAATGCACCCTACTCCGCAAGAGTCCAATAGCGCAAGAATTGACCAAGCTCTCTATCCAAAGCAACAAGCTCGAGGCCAAAAGGAGTTAACGAATAGGTGCTCAATGGATGCAGTGCTCAAGGCGCGGAAGAGAGAATGTTGCCGCAAAATGTGTGTACAAGAGATCAGCGCAGAACAGATGTTGGAGGACAGAAGATTACTGGCTACCGATGGTGCCAGATCGAGAGATCGTCAGGAGAGAGCCGAGTGTCTATGGAGATTTTGCGGAGGGCATGGTATGATTCGTCGTATGAGTTCTGAAGAAGGCAAATTTCAACCAATGCTGTATAATAAACCTATTTGCTGGGACGGGTTGGCTTATTACCTGGGAGTTGGCAATGGATTATTGCGGGAGATACGCCAAATGGCCGAGTCTGGCTGTGAGATCGTGAAGCAGCGGTATGACCAGCGAAAACTGGCCGCAAGCACAGTCCGCGTTCATGTTTGTGATTTTATGTCACATATCTTCTGCCAAATCGGAGAGTATCAGCCAGATCGAGCCTCCATTATATTACCATTTCCCTCTATGCAAACTATGATATCATATCTATCTGAGAGATGGGGACAGCTTTTTGACCCGACCATATTTCCCACCTCAAGAACCATCCGCCGTTATATGCGGTAGGATTTGAAGTTCATACCCAGCGTGCCACCGAGCTCTGCAGCTCGCATTATGCCAATATGCGACTTCGAACCTGCGGGTTCTGCAGTGAAGGCCTCAAAACCTAATGATACTCAGAATACCTTGAATATTGATGGTGCTTCGAAAGCCTCAGAACGTCATGGTGTTGCGAAGGCCTCAGGCTGTAATGGTGTGACGGAGGCCTCAGACTGTGGTGGCGTTGCGGAGGCCTCAGACTTGAACGGTGGCGAGAGGGCCTCGTTCTTACGAGTTTGTCTGCGCAAGACACAGCGCTTCGGTAAGTGTCTGGACTGCGTGGAGTCTCAGATGGCTTTATCGCGTAGTCGGTGTCCGGCCGACAAGAGGATGCTACTCAACCGCTTCAATTTACATCTTGAATCGGTTATGCGACAGAGGTTGAGGTACTATAATCTCAAGATGCAAGCCTTGGCGGATCCCGATAGCATCTTGACGATAATAGCAGACGGTCCGGATCAGTTTCTTACACGACTCCCCCATATGGTTTGGACGGAAAGCAATTTGCCTAAATTCGATGACTCCAATCTAGCTAAAGTCAAGCTTGAGCTAGTCTTGTGTCACGGACGGAGAAATGGACCCAATACGTTCCTTTACATTGCTCCGCCAGACAAAAGCCATGTAGCTTCCTAC